GATCTAGATACTCCTAGCTAGAAGACGACCCGAACTCCAGTTGCGCGGCGAGCTGGATCAATCTGCAAAATAGTAGATCAGAGAACGTGAGGTAGCTAACCCGACGAGATTGCTCCGATGCTTAAGTCAGTACAATACTGTGGATGCGAGCTGAATACCTGAGTGCTTGAATGCTAGTGAGTAAAATAATCATGCGTACCTTTGCCTTGGGGTTTTATGTCCTTATATAATGGAGTAGTCGTGGGCCTTACGAAAGAGCTTTGGGATCTCCGGGCTGTGCGGATAAGATCTGTTCCGTTTTTTAAGGAGAGCAATGTGTTGATAAGGTTTATCGTCTACCTTCGGTTCAGGCAGAGCTAAGATGAGTTTCATCGTGATCTGAGAAATTTGGGGTCCGTTGGGGAGGCCTTTCCAGTCGATTACGTGGCGTTTCGGCTCTTTAGCTCTGAACTGGTACTTCGGTTCTTTAGTCCCGAACCGAATTGGATGTCGAGGTGTCTCTACGTCGAGGTGGTTTTTGGGCTGAGATGGCTGAACATCCGAGCTCCGAATGCTGCGGGCCGGGTTCGTTTGGCTGAGTCGTCACCCCTCGAGCAAATCGCGTCTACATGTCCCCTTCTTACTTGGTCGTGCCAAATCACCTTTCATCAGAAATCAATAAAAAGTTAAATACTTATATTCCATTTGACAATAATAAAAGCTAATAAAAAATTATCTAACAAAAACGAATAAAATAAAATTACTAATAATAAAATCCATTTACAAATAGCATAAATAAAAGTTAATAAAAATATATTAACTCTAAAATTAATTATTATTAATTTAAAATCATACTAATTTCATTGGCAAATAATAAAAGTAACAAAATTTTATTAATATTAAAATTAACTTTTATTAATCCAAAATTCATTTAAATGGATAGTGTAAGTTGAGCCGGGTAGGTTGACTTTAAACTCAACCTAGCTAGACTCGACCCTAAGAATGGGGCCTAAAGATCGAGTCCAAAGTGAGACTTAATCTTTCCAACTCGGTTTCAACTTATACTGGAATTTATTGCACTTGGATTGGGCTTGGGCTCATCAAGTTGGAAAATATTTGTGAGAATGACGGTTCAGCCCAGGGTCAGAATTTGTAGGCCCAAAGTACTATTGTGGTAGGTGTCATATGGGAATTGATGCCAATTCACGCATTGGTGCATAGAGTGTGAGTTGTTAACATTTTGAATGTTTATAGCTCTACAGTGGAAATCAGAAATCTGCACTGGGCCTATCCGTACTTTTCCAAAAATATTTATTAGACTAGGGCTATGTGTGGGTGCATCTTAAAAAAATAAATAAAAGGAACAGAACTTTTGAATTATTATAGGACTTTGTTAAGCAAAATTACTGCTTGAATTGGACTTGGATCGGTTTGGGTCAATTGGGAATGTCATAGGGCTCTTTCTACTTCAAATTTGGTTAACAAAGGGCATGTATTGCACGGGCCTCGACTAGTTTTATAATTAAGACAAGCAAACTTATCTTGTCCCAGGCTAAGATAAATATTATTAGGGTTGGGGTGTGGATAGGGCTGGGCATTGGTAGTGTTAAAGACGGTTCATAAAAAAGTTATTATAATCTAATTACTAAAGCTAAATAACATAATTACTCTTATTTAATTAATAACGTAATTAATTAGTTAACTAATTAAGTTAATAATACAATAAGATTAATATGAATTAATAAAATTCTTTTGATATTTTTATTAATACAATTTTTTATTTAAAAATAAAGTTAATACAAATTATTGCATGTTTATTAATAAAACAACAAAAAGTAAGAAAATATTAGTTTCAAAATTAACTCTTATAATTTGATATCCATTTAAATTTCATCTATGAAAAATAAAATGATACTACAAATTTGTTAATAAGATTAAAAGTTAAAAAAATTATTAATTTTAAACTAATTATTATTAATTTAGATACCCTAATCCATTTAAAATAACAAAAAAATATTAACTTTAAATAAAATTTTAGTAAAAGTTAAAATATGTTAATAAAAATAAAAAATAATATAATTAGGAATGTCACAATGCTCCTAAGGTGCAACATGGGAGGTTGGTTGGGTGAGGGTCAACCCAAGCCCAACCCAAAGTCTCAAACCTTGAGTTCAAGCTTGGCTCAACTCAAGGTCTAACCCAATTTACCAATCTTGGCCTACGACAAGCTTAACCCAATTTACTAAAATACCCTTATAATTTCATGGATTGACTAAAAATCTACCCTATAGTTAGCATTTTACTAAAACATCATTTATAATTTGCAACGGATTTAATCAATCTTCCATTATATGATAGTGGAAAATGACAATGTTGACCCTAATGTTCATTGAAATAAATTTAATCAAAAGAAAATAGAAATAAAAATACCATTTTGCCCTTAATAAGACACGAGCAACCACTGTATTGGCTATATTTGGCCAATTTTGTTTTTTGTATAAAAAAGTGTTAAGGGTATTTTTTGGAATAAAAAATCATAGGCCTAATGGCAAAACAAACACTCATTAATGAAAGGTTGATTAAATAAACAAATTATAAAATATATGGGATATTTTAGTAAAATGAAAACTACAAGGTAGGTTTAAGTAAATATGTAAAACTATAAGGTGTGTTCTAGTAAATGACCCTAATAGAAACACATAAGAGTATACAATTGTTTTATATTTTCAACTTTTTAAATAATTAATGATTATCCATATTTTATATACTACTTTTAATATTTTTTTATAATACAAAAATAACAATAATTAATTTCAGTTAGCTTTATTCATCAAACTTATAAAATCGGCCAATCCGATCAACTCGACCCAAGAAGGTCGGTTTTCTAGTATTTTATGTCGATTTTGGTTCAAAAAATTCCCAATTTGACCAAGTTGGATCAGTTTAACTTTGGCCATTTATATAAAACGACCTAACCATGGATATATATATATATCTATCATATTTTAAATGTAATTTTTAATATGAAAAAGAGTGAAATTTCCCATATTTCTTAGTCTAAAATGTTTCATTTCATAAATATAATTTTTAAATTTATTTTTTAATAATTGTTGTGAGTAAGGTGGTTAGGTTACGTACGGGAGTCTCCTTGAAGGACAAAGGAAAAGCTGAGTATAGGAGGTAGGCTAAAGGTTAGGGCAAATGAGGTGATAGAATGATTATCTCTTTATGAATTAGACTCATATTTATAGGGAATATTGGATTTGGTGCCAGTTGTTAGGTAACACTGCTAGGGTTTCGCCACGTGTCTTATGTGCTACTTCATTTCGTGGCCCTTTTAAAAAGATGTGGCATGGGTGACGTCACTATTTAGCTTGCACACCTTCATTAGGCTCATGGGGTGTCCCGTCACACACGTTTTTTAATGACGCACGTGTTTTCATTATTTGTTTATGATCTGTGGTGAGTTTACGTTCATCGTGATTCTGTGACGACTTTAAACTCATCGCAAGTCTGAAGCTCATTGCGGTTCTGTGATGGATTTAGACTCATCGTAAGTCCACACAGGTCCAAAGTTCATCACAACCTGTTTCAACTATGAGTTCATCACAAATGTGTGATGAGTTATGAAGTCATCGTAGATGTGCGATGACTTATGGACTCATTACAGACATTCGCATAGTATTAGTTTGACACTTCCCCTGTTTTGATGGTTTAAGTGACCACCATGTACCTACAATCGCACTATAATTTTTAAAATTAAATTAAAATTTTGAGTTTAAATATTTTGAACGAATTGACCTTTTGTGAAAACCAACCCAAATCGATACAACTTGAGTGGGTCGATTTTCACAAAAAGGTCAGTCGGCTTTAACTAACCAACTCTCCAACCTGACTAGGTCAATTTGGTTGGCCAAATAGCCTACGACCGGTCCGAACCAACTCATGAACACTCATATTTTTAGCTAAATTAATAGTCTTATCTCCGATAAATAGGAATTAGAGATAATTTAAAAGATAAATAGGAATTAGAGATAATTTTGGAGAAAGTGGGGGAGGTAGTTTAGGAGAAATTTTAGGAGAAGAGATTATTTAGGTTGTGGGAAAGTGCATCTTATTGGTTGTTTAATATAATCAAGATAAGCAATAATTACTGTTTTATATTTTTAAAACTAAAGAAAATAAGAAAAAAATACAAAAAATAAAAAAAAATAGATAAATAACTTCTATCAAAAGAGAAATATGCTGACATGAACGGAACAATTTTAATATATATATAAAATAAAATGTTAGGCTCGAAGCCTCCTGAGTTTTGGTTAGGCCTGCGTGTTTTGATCGAGTCCAAAATCTCAAGCCCAACCTGTGTAAAAAGCTCTGGTTGGGCTAGATGAGGCTTGGGTTGGGCCCGCCCAAATTAAATTATACCCCTAATTCCTCCTTACCTCAAATTCTTAACAGAAAAAAAAATGAAGTGCAATTCGCTCCAAGCGTATAATAGAGGAAGCTTCGGTTATTTTCACTTCTACCAGCGCGCTCCAAGCCTTCAACCTCCGGAGCGTACCTTATCCATAAAAATTAAATCTGAGCAGGGAATGAATTGAATGATGGAATAGGATAGGAGAATGCATCCAGCCAGTCACAAGTTTTGGCCGGGGCACAGGGGCACAGAACACACACGCCACACGGTAGGGACTAGCGAGTAGCGACATCCATTAACGTGAACACTCACACAAGTCTGAAACGGGCCAAACGGCTTTTCTAGGTTTAGGGTTCCTCTAACTTACGCCACCGTGACAAGGGGAACACGCGCTTCTCGCGCGAGCCGTTGATTCGGTGCGCGTAGGGCGCAGATCAGCATTCACCGTTACTCAACGTCTCTAATCATGGGCCCGACGGAATTCTTGGAAACCGAAACGAAGCACTAACCCAGTATCCCACGGCTAACACTCGAGTATGCGCTCGATAACCCCTTGTATCCATATGGCGCACGATAGCTCATCCTTCTTATAAATGGTTATCGTTCTCCATGGATGCGCGTTACTCCTCCCCTTCTCTGATCCTCCCCGCCTGTTTCTTCCCTGCGCATTTTTTTTCCCTTAATTCCTCTTTTCTTTTAATCTTCAATTTTCTGTTCGTTATTGGCCGTTAGGGTTTTCGCCTACTGGAATCTTATCGCGCTTCCCGAATCGGTATGCAGAACTTATTTTATTTTGACCTTCAATTTTTCTTCGATATGTCGATCAATTTCAATGGAGTTCATATTTATCATAATTATGATGGCTTTGTGCTCTCTGGTGCAGAATTTTTTGTCTATTAGGGTTATAGATTCGTTTTTTCTTCCTTCAATCTTGATTGGAATGTTGGAACTTCGAGACATGACCGAATCCCCTTGGGGTCGCTTTTAAATCTTCATATATGGACATGGAAAGTCGCTCTCGGCATGCCCGCCAGAGAGATTTTTACGATGTATTGGGAGTTTCAACGGTTTCAGTTAATTTGAAGATCAGAAATTCATACATGAAATTAGCTTTCAAGTGAGTTTCCTTTTGACTCGAATTAGCTTTGATGCAAATGAGCTGTCTACTAAGCTAACCACATATCATAGAACATCTTCTGGGAAAACTTTCCCTTAAATATAAGTTTGTTGATACAATTACGTGTTGCTGATGAGTATACTATTGAATTACTTCTGTATACAACAAGAAATACTGTGTTTTATGTTTTTATGTACGTATAGTTCAACAATTTTAGTGTATTTATTAATTATCAGTCAGGGTGAACTTAAAGTTGAATTTTGTATGTTTGTGTGTTGGTTGTCTTTATATCATCGAATAAGTCACAATACTTCAATTTATCAAAAAAAAAAGTCACAATACTTCTTTCAGCAAAGCAATAACAGTTCGGTTTGAGGGAAACCATCTCTTAAAATCTCAGATGGACCATGGATGTAATTTTATTAAAGTGATAACAGTGTTCCCTTTAAGCAATAGTTTAAAATAACACCAATTCTCTTTAGATTGCCCTAACAGTGCTCCCTTTAGAGTGCCCCTTAACAATAGTTTAAGCATGTATACGTTTAACCCAAAGACACATAAGCAAAACCCAATGTATAAATGGAATCTCTCAACCTTCTATTTGTGTGGTACCTGTGCTTGCCCATGTGAAGAGATTCTAATTGATAAAATCGTCCGCAAAAAGGAAAACATTCCCGGAACATCATCCATATATCCCAATTTACATCCTCATCTAGCAGGTGCTCATCTCAGAAGTGCTTGAGTGGTTGCAGGATTAACTACACATTTGTTGGGAGTATCATGCAAATAAAATTATACAATTTTATGTACAGCTTCAAGTTCTTGTCTTGCTTCAAACATACATCATGAAAAACTTACATGGAATTTAGAACTTGCCAGAAGTGCCAAATGATAAGCTGTTACCCGTCAGTTTTGCACACATGAATGACCAATAAATTTTGGATGATAATGTGAGTGTTGAGAGATTGACAAACTGCCATAGCCTATCAATAGTGTTATAGATGAAGAAAGAATCCATCCTCCTAAAAACAGCACTCTGTGTAACCCCCTGTTGCAGTAGTGCAACAGTCATAATAACACACCAGTAGGGCTAAAATGCATATACTCATAAAAGTGAAAATTAGCCTTGTTAGCTGTAAGTTGTACATGATATTGCTGACCTTGCATTTGTTAATTTTTTAAGGAAAGAGGAGGTAGCTTCTTGGCAGTGTTTACATGATCAATCATCTTTTCATACACTATTTTTTTAATAAGTTGGCAATTCTGAATTGTGTAACTGCTTATGTAGGTCTATACTCTTTCATGGACTCTTCAAACCTCTTATGGATGTACACAGTTGATGGCTAGTCGACAAGTGTCAACTAAGCGCTACTTCTACTGACTAGTACGCATTAAATATCTTTTTTGTCAGGCCCAAATTTGAATTTACGTGCTATATTCTTGCCTATCTAATTCTAAACTGACAATGACCCCTCAATACTGGTTAAATGAGAATAATACCTGGTGTACCAAGTGTCCTATTGAAAACTTGATTGCCAATGGCATGCAATCACTATATTAATAAAATTTCACGGTTTAATAAAATTCCCTTTGGTATTGATAGAAAAAAGAATCATAGTTACCAATAAAAAACAGCATGCAATTAATAAATTTCATATTTGCCTTGCAGTGGTCGTAGGCCTATGATGTTAAGCATTGAATTAAATTTTGTTAATACCAAAAAGTTCAACTTTGCATTTTATGTTTGATTTGATAAACTTTTAGGGATGACTTTGTACAAGATAACTATTAGAGTAATGATGATTTGATAAATTTTCTTTCCTATACTGTTTTTTACATGGAATAAAGGGAAAAAGTTCAGAACTTAGAAATTGAGTTGGTTGGCTTTGGTTTGGGTTAGGTAATTCAAGCTTGGTTTGGTTTAGGCTAAAGTTCAGATTGGATTGGGGTTGAGGCCTTGAGGGTTTCTTACCTTGGGTTGGTCTAGGGTTGACTTTTTTTTTGATCAATAACAGATTCATTTCATTACTGAAAGATGAAAGAAAAGGATTTGTCTCATTAGCCTTGTAAGAAGTGTTTACAAGATAATTGCTAGTTTTTCACTGTTGTCACTTTTTCTGAACCTTTTCTTACAAGCAACGTGCCTGCAAATCAAAGACCACCTTTTGATCACCACTTTGATGATATCTAAAATCATCTATTCCTCAATACACATTACAGGATGAGGAAGGAAAGGGTGAAGAGGAGGCACAACCAAATAATTATAGATATTTGGAGATTGGCAGTGGTGCATTGAGCAAAAATTGTGAGGATAGACAGGGACTTAATGGAACAAAGAGATATAGGAGTCAGAAGACCTGCTCTCTCTCTCTCTCTCTCTTTTGAGAAAAGGTAACAGAATTTTATTGAATAAAATAGAGAGTACATGAGGAGATGTACAACATAAAAGGGGAAACCCCTGGGGATTACACAGGAATCAAACTATCACTATACATTACATCCAAATGTGCTCCTATTTTAGCTAAACCATCTGCAATAGAGTTTAGCTCCCTCTGAATCCAAATCAGATAAGCATTCAGAAGATCCAGATATTCTCTAGCTTCTGTCAAAAAATGGCTTAATCTCCACGGACCTCCTTCTTTTTCTCTTATCCATTTGATAGTATTTGCTGAATCTCTTGCAATGGTTAAGTTTTGAATGCCTAGGGTTCTGACTATTCTGATTCCTGTGAGAGCCGCTAACACTTCCACCTTGGTAGAGTGAGTGACACCTATTGGACCACTAAAAGTCCACATGATAGCACCCCTTTCATCCCTTACTATGCCTCCTATTCCAGCTGCTCCTGGATTGCCTGATGCGCTCCCATCAAAGTTTAGAATTGTCCCTCCTACCCTTCTTCTTACTAACACATGGGGAACAGCATGGGGGGAGATTGATTGGGAGAAGAGAAACTGAGCACTTCTGTTGAGATCATTCACTGAGAATCCTCTAAAAAGATCAGAATTGATGGCCCAAAGGTTACAATGTAGAGAAATTTGAGAGACTAGCTCCTCATGAGATTTTGTCTTGTTTTCAAATAAGTGATTGTTTCTTTCTTCCCAAACTCCCCACATCACTGCATGTAGTATTGTTTGCCAATAGGACCTGCTCTACTTCAGAAAGAAGTAATAGAACAAAAATGGTGGAGTGAGGCATATGATGAAATTGAAGTAGCAGGAGGATCAGAGGGAAATATTGCATTGGAGGTGGTTGAAGAAGAAGATTAAGAGGAGGAGCTGCCTTTATGATTAATGGAACAAAGAGATATAGGAGTCAGAAGACCTGCTCTACTTCCAAAAGAAGTTAATAGAACAAAAGCAGTGGAGTGAGGCATATGATGGAATTGAAGTAGCTGGAAGATCAAAGGGAAATATTGCATTGGAGGTGGTAGAAGAAGAAGATTAAGAGTAGGAGCTGCCTTTATGAAGTGTATGAGGTTCAGCAAAGTTTCACATTCGAGAAAGTCATTGAGAAAGAGGTTGGAATGGGAGAGCATCAGGGGAGTTTTATTTAGGTGGGGAAGAAGCAGCAACGGGTGTATTTAAAGAGTTGGGAGAAAGAGAGAGGAAGAAAGCAAAATATAGAAGAAGGTCATCTAATAAGTATTAGGAAGGTTGTAGAAGGCGATGCAAATATGGGTTCTTAAATGGTGTGTGGTGGAGATTGGTAAAGGAGAAAAAAGATGTGGAGTTATGTGGGAGAAGGTTTACTCTAGAAATTTTTAGGTTACGTGATACTCTTCATGGAACACCAGAGGGTTAAGAGATCCCATGGATGGAGCAAATTTGATGGTATTATGGTGAGGAGGATGAGGCTAGTGGTGGTTGACACAGAACCCAAATGAGAAAATACATTTTTTATAGATAAACCACAAACTACTTTTAAGGTGTGGGTTGGTGGTGGTTATGATTACTGAAGTGTGGTTATGGGTCTTGAAGAATCAGTACATACAAGATGCCAAGCACCTCCAATATTCAATTAGTTAAAGACAATACATTGTTGATCCCCGTGGTGCGGGCTGTTGTTGTCAATGTTTTAAAAACAAGAGGGGCAAGCACAAGGGCCTTCTAGTGCCCAAGGTGCAAAGCAAGGGGCATGCATATCCAGACAAAGCAAGGCACAATACAAAGTGCTTGCAAGCACTGAACAATTCAATCATACAAAGCTCTCAAATCTAGTGTAATGTTAAACTTTTCATTCCTAATCCTAGGAGGTTGAGGCCCTTTGAGGCAGGCCCAAACAAGCCTATGTGGGAGTTTGGGGGCAGTTCCTTTGACCTGAACTTTTGTCCCATATATACGAAAGGTTTGATTTTATGATTTTGGTTGAAGTTAATTCTATTTTGGGGTTAGGGATCAAAGATTCATTGTTACTATTTTACTGGAATATTTGCTCTTTGAGATCCTATCTGCAATAACTAGGACTTCAGGTATTCAAATGGACTTTGTTTTTGTTTCTTTTAGAGGTTAATAGACCATACTAGTGCACAAGCACCAATAAAAGCTGATTTAGATGTAACAGACCATTAATAAGGTGTAGAACACATAGGAATGTAAAAGGAGGTACAGAAAAGCTTATAAAAAGGTGCACTAGGCATGTGCCTTTCGAAAGGGTCCCTTGGGTTCAAGCAAGGCATAATGCATCTTGTCTCTGCACTTAGGCATGCCCTTTAAAATGCCAGCTATTGTTAGAACTTAGAAGTGATTGGGGAGCTTGTTGTTCTTCCTTCCTTTGTAGGTGATTCCTTACCACCCAACCCAAGTGGGTGATTCCTTCCTTGGTTCTTCCTTATCACCCATTTTTGTACCTCATTTTCTTTTAATGAACTTTTTTCTTTAGTGTAGTAAAAGTTAAAGGGCCCAACTTGGGTTGGGCCAGCCCAATTCAACCTCATCAAATCCATAAAGGGATTAGGTTAGTTTAAAGCATTGCTAATTACATGGTGGTCAAAACTGCTCTTCATTATGTGTTCTAGAGTTAAATGTTACATTTACTTACTATATATTCTAGATAAGAAAAAGCATCTTTTAGAGTTACCTTTAAAACATGTTTTATATGTGATCCCAAAAAAAATGTTAATTTAGGATGAGATTGACTCTAGCAGTAGAAAACAGTGGATTCCAATTAAATGGAAGGGCCCAAAAAATGAAATTAAGATCAACTTTGGTGCCTTGAAGAAAGGTGATGGGAAGTGTGCAATTGGGTGTCTAGCTAGAAATGCTTCTGGGAATATCCTAGATTTTAAATTAAACCTATTGGCCATACTACTTTAAATATGGCTAAAGCATGAGCAGCTTTTGAGGCCCATGTTTGGGAAAAAAAAAGAAACAGAAGGATCATAATTGAAGTTGATTCAAGATTAATCAGAGTGTTTGAAAAAGTAGACTGTCCCTGGAGGATCAAGGATCCCACTGAATAATGTTTTAACATTGATGATAATTTTAGTGTTGTGTATTCTCATATTTTTAGGGAGGCTAATCAAGCTGCTGACTGGTTAGCTAATGTTGGGAATCTGTACGAGTCAATGGATTTATCTAGGTATTCTTGGTCACTGCGATATATTTGTTTCTTTGACTTTTGTGGATGTGCTACCCGCCTTGTGTAGTCCCTTTCTCTATTTATAAAAAAGATCTTCCTTTTATATTTTATTCTTATGTCAAAACAAACTGTACAGCAGAAATTCAAGTATGCTGTGGCTCTGTCTAAAAGGTCAGGTAATAATACCAAAAAAAAAAAGAACTACACATTTCAGATTGATCCAAATAAAGATTTGAAATCAAAATAGGAGTGCATCCTTTAATTTCTGCTGCACTGATAGTCAGAAACCTGAGGATATGCACTGCTTCTAAGGATAAAAAAAAAAAAATTTGAGAATTCCTCTCCAGCTAAATAATGCATAATATCATAAGAACATGAGACATAGCATTTTCACTGTTTAATGAGACCCTCAAGATACCATCCCACAAACAATAGTTACAAGGTTTCTGGGAAACACCATTATAATGTAAAGTGCCAAGAAAGTAACTCCAAAGAGATGGGCTAATTCTACAATGCATAGAAAGGTGATTGGGAGACTCAGCCATGAGAGAGCATAAGACAGTGAGACAAGGTGTTATTTAAGCCTCATTCCTTGCTTCTTCAGCTTATAAATAGTTAAGCATGGAAACCATATTTTAGTATTTAATAAAAGACCCAAGGTTAGTAGGGTTTAGCCTAAGAAACAGAGATCACAATGTTAGATTTCTTGATGAATTTCACACTCTAATTGTATTCTCTGATCATACAACGTTCATATGCACCCCTACACTTCATGAAACCTACTCTAATTTTATGGCTAACTTTCTCCCAAATCTCTATCTTGCTGATATCACTTGGGGATGGTCTGGAGAGCTGACATCACTTGGATGCCCACTCCTTATTTTTCACCCCTTGCCTCTGTTTAGAGGAAAAGCAAGAGCAGTTTAGAGGGAACAAACACCGTTAATATTTCTGTTAATCAGAATATACAATAACATTTGTAGCACTTATAAGACTAAATACATTTATTTAATAATATCTCTACACTATATACACATGTATACCCCCATTGCTTCAAAATTCAAATACTTTGGACATGGAAACTCTGTTATTGTATTTGAAATATAGCACATTGTGTGCAGGCACTCTATCTGCAGTTTCCCCAATCTGTTATGGAAAGAATGTCTGAAGGAATGAACTTAGTGATAGAAACTTCAGAAAATGGCACAGATTTATCTCCAGATGACATTGGCACAATTGAAGAAATGCCTGAAGACACAATCTTATCACGACAAACTTCTGTAAATCTTGTCCCATTTATTGGACAAAGATTTGTTTCCCAAGATGCTGCCTATGAATTTTATTGCAGTTTTGCAAAACAGTGTGGGTTTTCAATTAGACGTCATCGTACTCGAGGAAAGGATGGGGTTGGTAGGGGAATTACAAGAAGGGATTTCACCTGTCATCGTGGTGGCTATCCACAGATAAAGCCATCAGATGATGGAAAACTGCAAAGGAATCGAAAATCTTCACGCTGTGGGTGTCAAGCATATATGCGAATTGTTAAAAGAGCAGATTTTGATGTCCCTGAATGGCGTATTACAGGCTTTAGTAATGTTCACAACCATGAACTCCTGAAATCCAATGAAGTGCGTCTCCTTCCTGCCTATTGCACCATATCTGCAGATGACAAGAGCCGCATCTGCATGTTTGCAAAAGCTGGTATGTCAGTGAGACAAATGTTACGATTAATGGAACTAGAGAAAGGAGTTAAGTTAGGTTGTCTACCATTTACAGAAATAGATGTGAGAAACCTGCTACAGTCCTTCAGGAATGTGGATAGAGATAATGATGCTATTGACCTTCTTGCAATGTGCAAGAACATTAAGGATGAAGATCCTGACTTCAAGTATGACTTCAAAATAGATGCACACAACAGGTTGGAGCATATTGCATGGTCCTATGCTTCATCTATTCGATTATATGAAGCATTTGGAGATGCTGTTGTTTTTGATACAACTCATCGTTTGGATGCATATGATATGCTTCTAGGAATTTGGATTGGACTGGACAACCATGGTATGAACTGTTTCTTTGGCTGTGTGCTTCTACGCGATGAAAACACACAGTCCTTTTCCTGGGCATTGAAGGTATAAAGCTCTCTTAAGCATAGTTTATCTTGATAACAATATCATCATCATCATCATTCATCAAGAAGTTATTCCCATATTCTGCAATTTGCTCCTACCATCTTTCTGGACCATATAGGAGCCGGGTCTTCTTATTTGGCAGCATGGCCCAAGAGTCCGTGAAGCCAGGCTATCTTAACCTTCCCATTTAGGGCTAACACTTGGATCCAAATAGAACAAGTTGAAAAAAGAATTGTTGAATCAGCTGGTTAAAAGTGTGTTTCTGGGGCCATGCTCAATGAAAGAGGTGGTGAACTCTCAAATAGTTGAGTTCAATGAGCTGGTAGGACATGAAAGTTTGGAGGGCTTTTCATCAAGGATGATGAATCATTCCTATTATATTTTTATCCCAAAATTTGGGTTATATTTCTGCACTTTTTTCTTAACTAACATTCTTTTTCTATACATCTTGAACAGACATTCCTGGGCTTCATGAAAGGAAAGGCTCCACAAACAATCTTGACTGACCAAAACATGTGGCTTAAAGAAGCAATTGCTACTGAAATGCCAAGTACAAAACATGCCTTTTGCATTTGGCATATTATTGCCAAGTTCTCAGATTGGTTTTCAGTATTGCTTGGATCACAATATGATAATTGGAAAGCTGAGTTCCATCGGCTGTATAATTTGGAAATGGTGGACGATTTCGAAGTAGGATGGAAGGAAATGGTTAATACATATGGACTCCTTGAAAATAAGCACATTGCCAGCTTATATGCATTAAGGACATTTTGGGCATTACCCTTCTTGAGATGCTACTTCTTTGCAGGGATGACAAGTACATTCCAATCAGAGTCCATAAATGCTTTCATCCAACGGTTTTTGAGTGCACAATCTCAACTAGATCATTTTGTAGAGCAAGTATGAGCCCTTTTTTTTTTCCTTCAACTATCTTTTAATTTTATAAGCTCACCATCTTTCAAACCTGTCTGTAGGTGGCTGTTGTTGTTGATTTTCGAGATCAAGCAGGAACTAAACAAAAGATGCAACGGAAGCTCCACAAAGTCTGTCTTAAAACTGGATCACCAATTGAATCACATGCTGCTACTGTTCTTACACCTTATGCCTTCTGTAAACTCCAAGAAGAGCTTGTGTTGGCTCCACAATATGCATCACTTCAAACAGAAGAAGATTGTTTCCACGTGAGACATCATACCCAGATGGATGGAGGTTGCAAAGTGATTTGGGTTCCTCGTGAAGAGCTCATTAGCTGTAGTTGCCATCAGTTTGAGTTCTCAGGCATCCTCTGTAGGCATGTTCTTCGTGTCTTGTCAACAAATAACTGCTTTCACATTCCAGAGCGATATTTACCGAACCGTTGGCGTTGTGTTAGCTCATCTTCGATGAAGCCCTTCCAGACCAATGCTCCAAGGGAACATGCGGAGAGAATTCAGTTATTTCAGTCCATGGTTTCAACGCTTATTACAGAATCAGTTGAAACTGAGGAACGCCTTAATGCTGCTTATGAGCAAATTGCCATGGTTTTATCTCGAATTAAGGAATTTCCTAGGCTGACCCATAGCACAAATGACATTGCTTATGATAGTCCATCCGATTCACTAATTCTGCCTGAGGTGGAAGACTCTGATGGCATTGTTCAAAGTTTTACCACTGGGAATCCCCATGAATCCATTAGTTCTCTGGGAAAACTAAAAGAAAGAAGACCAAGAGATGGGGTTGATATCTCACGGAAACGAAGGCGTTGCTCTGTGCCTTGCTGTGGGCAGTTTGGACATGATGCAACTGATTGTCCAATGATGGGAGGAGATGGGTTAAATGGCGATGGGCTAGGATTCTTGTAAAGATTTTGGTGATGGTGGATGTGTGAAGCAACAGTGACATGGTGTTTCATGTTCATGCACTACAAGCAGCGCATTTTTCCATCTACCCCAATGCAACCATACAAAATTTTATGGCGTCACTTTTTCCTGTTTTGACAGATCTCACACATGTTTTGTTAACCTTTGACGGGATTGAGAAGTTCATTTGCCATTCATGTCAGGGAAAGATTTACACATTTTGTTTTATGAAAAAAATTAGCTTAAAAAAGGAATATTCTGTGTTCCTGTTGCATAACTAGTACTCTGTTAAATAGATCCTCTTCACAACAGGAAATAATATGAACTGGAGATACTCTATTTCTGCCACTACAGGAAATAGATTGCTTCTTCATATCTAAAATACTTTTGCCTTGGTCTGCTCAATCTCTCTCTGCTGCATGCTAAAACAGATGATGAAATTATTTTTGTCCTTGAGAAGGTTATTCGGTTTTTAGTTGGAATGATTTGAGTTCCGCTATTGTACAAGGAGCATCTATGAGTTGATTAATCTTCATCTGCGGAACATTTGATTACATATCTTTCCCACATCATAGATTTCCCCTTTTTCTTTTTATTAATTTTCTTCAGTAGGTTTTCCTAATATTTTCTAGATTATCGAGTATGAATGTTGTCATGACAACCTTCTGCAAAAACCTGCACGTATATACAAATGCTAATAGCTTAAAGCTGTATAAATTTTGGTTGGTTTATCGATTTTTCCAATGATGCTTAACAATTCAGATCCTTAATTGATTCACATATGGTTATTGTTTGCAAGTGCTTAGCTGCTTTACCTTTTGAGGTACCTATTAATTATGAAAGGGTGTTGATAGAAATGATCTTATTAAGGTAAAATCCCTCAAGGATTCAATTTCTAATACGTGCTGTAATACTAGCTAATTAATTACCAGTAGAATTGACTAACAAATTGGTGGTTGCTCTTTAACAGGTTTCTCTGTGGGACAGTCATCCTGGACAGTTGTGACCAAGTTAGTTTTATGTAGGCAATAGTGATTTGGATATCCTCATTGTTGGTTGCATGCTTTAGTACAAAAAGTGAAAAAAAAAACAAGACAAGAAAAATAAATTATGTAAGACGTACAATGTGCAGCCTTGGCCTTGATTGCTCTTTTTCATACTCCATATTCCTTGTACATCTGTAAGAGAAGATTCCTTGAGGGCGAATTCAGTCCTCAAAAAATTGCTCTCACACTATTCTCACAGTTATTTTCAGCTATGCATTTAGAGCATCTCCATATTTATATCTTTTTATTCACGGGGCGATATTTTCAATACAGGCTGAGAAGGGCTGCGGGAATGGTGTGAACACAATATTGTGAGCACCAAATCCTACTTCGTTCTGCTTTAGTTGTTAAATATATACATATATTTATGTTTTATCATGAGTGAGTCGAGTGACCTGTGCATTCTGTAGTTTTTTTCTGACAGTTTTGACTTCTGTTTGCAATATGGAGTTTTTATTTTATTCTATTTTTTAATTTCTTTTGGTATAAAGGAAGAATTAAGCGACTCTGGGAAACACACATCCAGAACTATACGCTAACAGAAGATAATCCATGGTCCTAAGAGAGTTAAGAGGATGGTAATTCAGCATTGTGTCCTTCATTTGCAAACCAATCTGCCACCTGGTTGCCTTTTCTGTAACATGAGAGTACCATAAACATATAATCTCTTCCTACTCGATCTTCCTGGCATTCCTCGAGCATTGACGTGCACCTCCAAGTAGCATTAAATGAACTTCCTAGAGCCACGATCGTGACTTTAGGCTGTGTTTGGTTTGAAGAAAAAAGTAGGGAAAGGTTTAAAGGTTTCCCCACCTTTCTCTATTGTTTCCTTCAAACCAAACATAACCTTAGAGTCTCCTTTAATGATAACGCTCTCTCCTCCAATTTTCTTTGTGGGCCTCAAGGCCCGCCCTCGTTTCAGCCACCGTTACACTCGTGATGCTTATTTTGGCCCATATATCCATTTTATGACCATAAGCACAATTACCGCTCTCTTTCCTTTCACCAAAATTTATTTTAATTTCATTTGGTTTAGGTGGGATCCAGCGAACCCAAGTGATTGTCTTTTCTTTTTTCCTTTCATGTTTCATCATCCATTGTTTGCTTGTGACTTGTGAGCCCCTAAGTAGGTGTTTGGCATCAGTGCTGGGAATACAGCACCGTTTTCATGAGAAAACGGTGTTGGATATGTCTGGATTGTAAGCACTGTGCTTATTTTTTGTTTGGAAGAAGTGTTGTCACATAGGCTGTTTTTTGGGAAAACAACACTAGTTTGGTTTAGTATCAGTGCTGTAGAACCGTTTTCAGCATTAGTCATATTATCAAACACCCAAAATGATGCACAACATTGCACCGCTAGCACCAATGAGCTGTTTTTTGAGAAAACATCAAATTTGGTGTTGCTTCAGACCACACTTTCCCGATTTCCGAGGTGTAGTCTGAAGCAACGTTTTCTTTATATGGAAAAACAGTACCAAATAAGAGATCGTTTTCTGAAGCACTGCTTTTTCTGACATGGCACCTACATGGCACCGTTTTCTCAGAAAACGACATCAATGCCAAACACCACCTAAGTATTCCTTAAAGCACTCCCTTCTCTATTTCTATTTTTTGGAAGGTGTGGCTGTTATATAATGGGGGAGGACATAGTCTTCTATTACATGGGGGAGGATCTATTGAAATCATATTAGCGATGCGTATGGATCCATGAATGCTTGGTTTCATAGTTCGTATATTCAGTCCTCATCTCTTGCAAAAACCCGAATTGATGAGAAATCTTCTCTAAAGGCTACGTTTGGTTGTCCATACTCCAAGTGCGAGAACAAGAGAATTTTAAATTTATCTCAGGAAAATCTTAAAACAAGAGTTTATTTAAGAGAGTAGGTGGAAACATCATACATCTCTGTTACATGAGACCAAAAAAAAAAGGCACATGTCAAACATACAAATGCCTCTGTGGTGACTTGGTGCTTTACTTGAAACCTAACAGTTTTTATGGTACAAATTCTATGAGCAAGGCATGAAGGGGAGAAATGACAAGTGGATAGAATTATACAGCACAGTAGATACAAGAATGAACATGGATCCTGACGATGACACTATACAAACACAAAAAGATGAGAATACAGGTTTGATGTACATTACAAAATACTACGTACTCCCCTAGCTGTTATAGCTTCACATAGATGCCTTTCATGCGAAGGTAGCCTGCAACGAGACACCAAAATAGGATCTCCAACAATACAAACGCCAGGGTACCCCACTTCTTAGATCGAAATATGGTTTGCATTAAAGCTTCTGTACCATTTACCTACAAATCAGCTTCTGCTTGAGGTCAAGTATAAATTGAAGGATATACCAAGTCTGATCAATAACTATAATTCCATTTTATACTTTACAAATAAATACAAGGGAGTAATGATAGGTAAGCAATTGCAATTTTTGCATAAATATTTCCTTCATCTACTATTAATTTTGCATTTTGAAGTGAGTAAAAATTTCTTGGTTTTACTACTAATTAGTCCTTGCTACATAACACACACCAGAGGCATTGCTAGAATGCACATTTGTTCAATCCTAACTGTTATATCTTGTGAAAATAAGACATTTATAATGTTAACATGAAAATGTGTTCAGTGCTCCAAGGACCTTGTTGAATTCCTTTTTCATGATAATACCTTAATAAGATCTGTGTGAGATTTTTGTGTAGGTTCTCATAATAACGTCAAAAAAGATGCCAATTGATTGACCAAAGGGGGCTTGTACTGGAAATCTTTGTATATAGAATTTAACTGGTTCTTATTTTTTCTGTTCCAGTGGTAAATAAATATTTTCATATTAATTATAATGGCAAAAAGACAGCATCTTAGAAAACTCATAATATTAAATGTCTTAAGAGGAAACTCCAAGTTGCAGACACAGCACCAATTCTATTTGAAAGCATTGATAGTGTCCCCTTTTAATAAATAAAGCATCCATGTAACTAACTAAAACAAACTGATCCCTTACTTTCATGGGATGATTTTAAGTGTTTTCAGCATCACTCCAAAAAAAGGAGGCATAAGGTCAAACCTACAGAGCTTCAGGTCCTTTATGGTATGGCCAATTGGCCTCATATCAGTGTTATCAAAGCATTGATTAGTTGACTGATGACTGACCAGTCACTTGAGGACCAGACCAACTCATCACCAGTCAATTAACAATTAGTCCATCACAAATCCATTTTAAAGTTTTATTTGTTTGTTTGTATCTTTGATTATTTGAAATAATATATAATATGTTTACATTTTGTTATATTCATGCTGTTGCTTTATACATTTGTGATGGAACATGATTGGATGATGGTATAATATAGAAAATAAAAAAAATAAAAGAAGGCAGCATAGGAATTTATTTTCCTTCCAATTAGTGATGTGTTGTTAATAGTGTTAACACAAACAAAGGGTGCATCAAATAGAAAGGTTGCATTTGTTATTTCAAAAACAAAGGCTTTTGTTTACTTGTCAAAAAAAAAAAAAAACAAAGGCTTTGATTCCTTATCCAGCCTAACTTTTTCTTTGTTTGCAGAAAAAAAGGACTATAAACTAAATGTTCAACTTCATTCTTTTCTTGCATAATTGTAGTCTATATTAACTTATTTATGAGATTGCATTAATATATTAAACTTAGAACAACTTTTTTTATTGACTAGTTAGTGCCTAGGCACTGATCAGTTATTGCATCAACTAGAGAGGACAAAATGACTAGTCATCGCTTCACAGCATTGATAACACTTCTTCACATGGACCCTGTTCAGTCCCCACCCGAGTTCCCACTAATTTTTTCCAAGTAATACCAAATAATGGTAACTAACAAGATATGATACATAAATAGATTTTCATATTTGTTTCAAAAACATGTTAACATACATGATGCTTTTATATCAAAAGTTTCATTCGAGTTTGTATAAGTTCATTTTAAATATCAACTTCAATAACATTCATGAACCATTGAAGACAAAAACAAATGGGTCATATTAATCTTGCTACACAATTTATCCAATTTCTTCCTCTATGCAAGTAATTAATAACCATAAAATGAAACTGTAGTAGTTTGTGGTGGTGTTTCAAGTTCATTGATGTTATCTAAGGGTTTTCAGCTTTTGTTTTCACCAGCTTCATTACAATTGGAAGAGAAAAATAATACTGTATGATATATAAAACTTAGTAATTCATTACAATTCAAAATTATTTTTGTGGTAACAGTTCAGGACAAAAGAAGAAAGAGGTTACCAGGTTTTTTTCAGGAGAACGCCAATAGAAACCTTGTATGGCTGCTGGAAAAAGCTCACAAGCAGCCAGAACATAAACAATGAGAGCATTCATTCCCATCCACTGCAGTAAGATAGTTGGCTTTCTAAAATGATTGACATCAACCTTCACAGGACAAACTTTTCTCATGTCAAACACCTAATTTAAATTGACAATAAATATAAATACATCTTTAACTGATGCAAGCCCTATAAAGCAGCATTACCAATAGAAACAGTGGCAGATGATATCTGTAATCTATTACTTAATTTATAAAGAATCAATATATTTTTTACTTTCAGAGGAAAATAATTCCATCAATATCTTTTTCTACTGTTAGAGAACCAAAACTGAACAAAACAATAAAGTTAGTGGCATGCCTGGGAAAATTCTGTCATGAATAAAAGGATTAATTGGATGATCTTTTTACAAAAATAACCCCCTCCAGAAAAAGAAAAATAGAAAAAGAAATGAAAGAACATAAGCTTGCTAATTATTTTACAGAAGATAAGGATTTCAAACTCACTATGTAATAAATCACACTTAAGAGTATGCCTGATGCTCCGCTTGTTATGCACATATAGCTTAATGTGTATAACTGTTTGCTAAAAGGAATACCTGAAATAAATAAAGACCTACAGTAATTAGAGAGGGAACTGGATATAGAGCTCCTTTAAAAATAAATTATGCAACTATGTCCTTAGGTTAGATAGTATACCTAATTCCTTCATGACAAATCCTGAGACTAATAACGGCAAAGAAAACATGGACCACAAAAAGATCCTTCGCTTGTGGCTCTATAGCAAAGAAACATAAGATGAGCTAAAAACAATTAAAAATGGAAACAATAATACATAAACCAAATAATGAAAATACTAAATCAAGTTAAAACATAAGAATCTAATAAACTATATTTAAGACACTACAAAATAATGTTATAGCTTAAAAAACATAATCAAACACAAAGAATATCATACCTTGCAATGCACAACAATGTGTGCATAATGCAATCCAACAAAACATGTGACAGAAGCCATCAGTGAACTAAAAATTCAGAATAGACAAATTAGTAGCCAAATGAAACCATTGAACAAGAAAGCATGGCTAAATACTGGAAAAAGAGACTTGAACAACAGAAATTAAAATTAGTTCCTATTAAAACAGTACCTATCCAAAGAAAGCATTTAAACGGTGATCACCAGCTTGTTCCCCAGAAATGCAACACAACATTTTTCTAGCATTGCCTCCAAATCTAGATGACAAATAATTATTTTCCTTTTCTTCCTATTTCCACATGTTTCTGGCCTACACCTATGCTTTTTCCGATATATCACCTAGACATGGGAATAGTGCCGTCAATCAGTGAGGTCTGGCACTGGTGAGGGTAGATCAGGACCCAATGTGATAAGTAAACATGAAAAACCATTGGGTCTGACCCAATAAGATCCAATCATAACTGATAGTTGTATTTTAATCTGTAATTTGACAAAAAACCTACTTATTTGTTAAATTGACACATTTGGACATCATTATATGATAATATTACTCTCAAAGAACCATTCAACCTAAAAGCTTAAGCTGTTAAGCGAGGTCCTTGAATAGGTTTTATTCTCTAACATGCCCCCTCACACGAAAGCCCATTGGGCTTGAAGCGTGGACAGCACAGGCGCACCCTTACCTCGTGCTGAAACTTAATTTACTATAATGGGGGTGATGAGAATCGAACACTGGACCACTTGCTCAAAGTGGCTCTGATACCATCTCAAAGAACCATTCAACCTAAAATCTTAAGCTGTTAAGTGAGGTCCTTGAATAGGTTTTATTCTCTAACAATTACCATCAATCATTTGCCTAATTGAATTTGATAATTTGACATTTAAGCATTCTGGCTACTGACATGCTTAAATATCAGTTTTTTTATTTGAAATTACAACCACAATTTTTTTAGTTTGTTCCCAATTTTCTTTTATTTGGGGGGATTTCCTTTTTCTATTTATTTGCTATTATTTTAATTATTTATTAATTAAAAATTTATGCTCAGAAGGCTTATGCCTCTTGCATTCTGGTTTACACCTCATGTCACACCTTGACATTTTAAAACATTGGTATACACTATTTAAGCCTTCCATGTGCCATTTAGAGGACCTCATGATCTTTTTCTTTTTTGAAAAATTATACACTAAAATTAATTATCCAATATGAAAGGTGTAGAAAAAGGGTGTGCAGAATTTGAAGAGAAGAAAGATGAAAGAATGTTATAAATAATAAAATTCAACGATATTTATTTTGCGGGCGAAATTGTGACACAAGATTCTGTTAATATACTAATAAATAATATGATATCTAAAGTATCATTCTCCTAAAGGGAAAAAAATATTTAGGAGAATAAATAATTATAATATTAATTTTGACAAGAAAATTTGTCTTTGAAACATCAGGATGCAATTAATTTGCTTCTTGCTGTTTTTACACATAAGGTGAGCAGAGATATATATGTTATATAGGTGTACAAAAATGTATATTTATTTAATACATATACATATATAAATAATTAAGTTTACATACATTCACATAAGATAGGGGTATCATGCAAAGGAATGCATTTTGAAGTTAACTGACCTTAAGATGCCTTCTGGATCAAATGGAGCAAGACACCACACAGGTGAATTTGATGGAAGGGGTCCATAGTCAGGAGAATTAACACTGCATTCCTGAAGTAAGAAAAAAAGTGGATCAAGGTTCAGAGAAAACATATTCTTCAATAGGAGGCTATTGTATAGATGTTGATGAATGCAAACAACAGTGCTTATCAAGAAAATACACCAATAGGAGGGAATTACCTTTGTTCTTCTGTATACAGGATGCTGATAGAGATGCTTTTCACCAAGTAAAATTCGATCAACCATGCCAACCGCATTGCAGGGAGGTTCAAGACTACCCCTCACTCCACAATTCACCTAATTACCAGAGTCGTCCAGATAATAAGATGAAAAATTCCATGCCAACAAAGATAAATATGTTGGAATGCATATTCAAACTTCACTCAGGATGAGTATTCTTTAAGCTAAATTACAGACACCCACCCTGTATTTAGGGTTCATGACACTTGGTGTCCCCCACCCTTCTGAACTTTTGGATTCCATCACTTTACCCGACAGTTAATGGGGTTAACAATGAAGGTCATCATCATCATCATCATCATCATCCAAGCATTATCCTAACCATATTGGTTCACCTACATGAATCCTGTTTTGCCAATCTTCTGTTTAAACCCATGTTCATTGCTAAACTATTGGTGCTTAAATTATTTCTTACCACTTCTACCCATGTCCTTTTTGGTCTACCCCTTGCCCTTCGCCCCTTCAACTTGCAACAAATTACTTCTTATGGGTGCTGTTGATGGTCTTCTATGCAAATAACCAGCCCATCTTAGTCTACTTTCTCTCATTCTATCACTTATTGAGCTACTTCTAGGTTCCCTCTGAATGACTTCATCACCATTGAGGTTAACAATAAAAATAAAATTACTAAATTGCCCATTTGATGAGATTGTGTTGTACAACACAGGCAGCCCCATTACCTAGTGGAAGTGTCCCAACTGCAACAACCACTGCAGCTTAAGGTCTCCCTATCCAGCTCACCAGGTATCTGAGCTCTGTCTTCTAATGTTGATATCAAAACAGCTACAGAAAAACATTGGTGATAAGCAAAGCAATAGAAGTAGCTTTAGCAGTCACAGTAGTGACAATAGTTATAAATCCAAAGGGGGCTTCATGAGTGGTGAGGATGATTTTGAAACCACTTCAGAGAGGCCCTTTGTTGCAGAACTGAATGAGGAAAGTATGGAAGTAGCCATGGAGGTGGGAATATGTTAGGCCCAGTGGAGGAGAAGACCCAGGCAGAGCAAGTCAGGCACAACAGGCCCATGTGTCAGTCCAGAACACCACACAAATCACGCGGGTGGCACCACCCATTACATTCGTTTACACCCGATGTCCAATGAACGAATGCATGAAGGGCAGTGAATGAATCATTGAGATCTCTCTCTCTCTCTCTCTCTCTCTCTCTCTCTCTCTCTCTCTCTCTCTCTCGTCTTCTACCTCTCGTCCATTTCAGGAGGGCGAGCTCCCTTGAATCAGCTCACCGGTGACAGAACAGCAGCGGGATTTATCAATTGGTATCAGAGCCTTGCTATGATGCCAACCACCAGGGCCTCGTCTGCAGAAGAGAGGATTGACCGCATAGAAGGAGAAGTTCGACAGACCACCAATGAACTGAGAGAAATCAAGGAGACCCTCTCAGCACTGGTAGGCCAGTTCAAACGAATGTCACCAGCTCCCAGATCCACGGAGGTTGAAGGGTCTAGCAGCAGTGGCGTTAAGCGAGGATCAAGACTGCCAAGATCGATTTTCCTCTGTACTCAGGTGATGATCCCATTCCTTGGATTTATCGGGCTGAACGCTACTTTGAATTCCATGAGACCCCGGCAGATCAGAGGGTCTCCATTGCCGCCATACACATGGATGGTGAAGCTATCATGTGGTACCAATGGTACCGTAAAACCCACCCTCAAACCACCTGGTTAGACCTTACCGAAGCCTTACGTGTGAGGTTCGGTCCTTTTGCTTATGAAAATTTCAACGAGTCTCTCCCAGGTGAGGCAGACGGGGACAGTGAAGGAGTATCAGAATGAATTCGAACGGTTGGCCACCCGGGTTCACAGTTGGCCGGAGGCCGCACTGGTGGGATGCTTTATAGGGGGCTTACGGGAATACATCCGCATAGGGGTGAATGCCATGCAGCCGACCACCCTGATGGCAGCAGTGGGATTGGCCAAACTTCAAGAGGAGAGACTGGACCAGCTTAAGAAATTGGGGAGGCCTAATGGGCCTCAGGCGGGCTTGACTCAGAAAGGACCCTATCCCAAGGCGGATTCGAAACCTGGGCCTCTACTTCCAACCCCTATTACTCCCAAGCTGGTACCCTTACCAGCTTCACCGAACAGAAAGACTGGAGCTATCACCCTCCCTTACCGGAAACTATCATGGATGGAAATGCAGGCCCGTAGGGAGAAAGGCCTCTGCTATAATTGCGACGAAAAATTCGTCCCAGGCCACAAATGCAAGGCCCAGCAGGTAAGGACAAGATGATTATGAAACCCAAACCGGTGATCCGAGGGTTCAGCAGATGGAGGTGATACCAGAGATAGAATACTGTGTTATATCCCTTCAGGCCCTAGCTGGTTACCAGGCCCCAAGGACCATGCGAGTACAAGGGCTGATCTCAGGGAAGAGAGTGGCTGTCTTGATTGACAGTGGAAGCTCTCTGAATTTTATTACTCCTCATCTAGTCAAACAACTTGGGTTAATGATAGAACCCGTCTCTCCATTTGCGTTTTTGTAGAGAACACTGATGTGGGTCCCACAGCTGTGGTCCCACTCTGTCCGTAGGGTAGAATGTGCCCTARTCATCCTAGGGTTARYTRATGGTCWATCTGTTATTCCAGTTGTTATTTATATTTCAGTTTTATATTGTTTTATGTGTTATGTAAATACCAAGGGCAGATTTGTCCTTTCATGTAACTAGCATAACCT